ATAAATTCACACTAATTATGTTGTTGCATGTCATCAACTTTTGCTATGCAAGCCACTAGGGTCTAGGCGGACATAGCCTTAATAATGATCTTTAAGTTTTTATTTAAATTTAAATCAAAATGTTCGTTTTCAATTCTTTAATTTTATTTCATAAAACATAGCAGCAGTATTCTAGCAGAGAGCCGCGGAATACCTAATGATGATCCCGTAACTCCCGAAAGCACTTTTGTGTAGGTTTATCTTAATTTATGTGGGCCGTATTGTGTTTTAACAATGAACCGGCCCTGGTTAAGTTAACCATTATAGATGGCAGAGCATCTGCTATGTTCCACGCCGCTCCACCTAATTAGACCCGCCGAATTTATAATTCTACGTATTGTTTTATAATAATCTTTTGTTTGATAAATGTACGGGTATGTTTCTTTGTGAAGAGTTCGTTCAAATCGTTTCATAATTCTCTTGATAATCATTCCGATTTGAATTTAAATTTCGAAGACAAAATCTTATTTCCTTTGTCATCTAATGCGATATTAAGTTAACGTTTGCTATTTATTATGCTATTAATTTTTATATACGTTACCAATGAATCATCGTTTTGAAACTTGTAAACTTATATATAATTTTTTCTATCTCTTTTGAAGGTCAAACGTATTTTTAGGGTTCCTTACCTCGAAAGGGAAAAAACGGTACACTTATAGGATCACTTTGTTGTCCGTCCGTCTGTCTGCCAAGACCCTTTTTTAATTCCTGGACTAAAATAATTCTCAAATTATAAATGTATTATGGCATTATGGAACAAATAATAATTAATTTAGCGCAGTTTTAAAACATATTTAAAACTTTTCTAACATAAGTAATATTTTTGAAGTCGATTTTTTGTAAGCGTAGCAAAAGTGGCTCGTAGCATTTCAATTAAATGTTTATTTTATGCGGCAGAGAAAAAAACTTCACCGCATTATTTCCGACCGGAGTTTTACTGTTTTAACTTTTTAATTCCCTGCATATTTTTAGGTTCATGTATATTTCTATAGAATGGAAAGGCCGAACAAGAATTTGTATATTCATTTTAAATTTAATGTTCCTAATTTTTTGTAAATTCGTTTGCAAAGCATTATACGAACGTAACCGAAGGATTGCGAAATTAGTTCTTGACATATTTATGGTGACACATTTTAACATCCATAACATACTTCATCGGCGTTCAAAGGGTTAAAACACATGTTTACCTAAACAGTATCTAATTATATTTTTTGGGGTATTAAGGGTAATTCTAAGTATTTTCATCTTTGCAATATTAAAAAAAATGTTAGCCTACGTTATTTGTATTTTCTCAGTTTAGAAATATGTGTATTTCGCGCTGGCGCGGCAAGCAATAAACTTCTATAAAACTTAAGACAGTCGAAAGAACCACTAGGGATTTATGGTTGGAAATGTTACAAGTTACTTTTTATGTTTAGCGGTCGTAAGGTTAAGTAGAGCTTTTGCTTCCAAAGTTATTCCCAACGGTGTCGGTCGGTCGGTCGTGTCGAATAAAGAATTATTATGATAAAGTTTAAACGGATGCTTAATGTTCGTAGTAGTTTTACGATCTTGTAATAGGGTAGTGTAGAAACAACTTTTTAACCAAATATTTAACAAACGTAAACGGTCACTAAGTGGGACTTTAAGTGTACATTTTTTTTTTTTTTTTAGTGTCCATTATGTAAAAAAAGCCGTCTTCATAAAAAAAATGTAGTAAAAGTACATACAGAATTGATGAACTCTTAATTGAAGTCGACTAAAAACTACACTAACAAAATTTTTAAACAATTATCATACGAAGACCGGCAATTAATTTTCGTAATCATATGACTTCTATGATGAACTACCTGTCTCCGGTGACTCCGTCCGCATGGAATTAAACAAAAACTTAATAAGTGTATGTGTTCTTCAAGACTATGTTCTACATCTATGTCAAATTTCAGCGAATTCAGTTAGGCCGTTCTGTAGATACCTTCAAACAAACATCCACCCAAACATTCGAATTTATATTATTAAGATCTATGGTTTGAAGATTTTTAATGCACAATTATCAAGCAACGTCGTAAAAAATGACAGTTGCTTTTAATTGAATTTGTATGTTTTTAAAGATTAACAAAGCATTAGAGAAAAGTTTGCCGCGATGTTATTTCAGTCACGAATTCTTACTTCCTTTGAAATAAGATAAATGATCATCTGAAATATTATATATTTTTGCAGGAAAAATATATTGGCAATAATAATAATAAACTTTATAAGCATCAAATAAATGGCTCAAAGTAGGTAGCCTGTTCCCCGAAACAGAAGGCTTTATGATAGCGATACAGGACCAGATAATACTAGAAACTACAGAAAATATATAATAAAGGACCCAACAATTAATGATGATAAATGTCGCAG